CCACAAAATAATAATAGAAAAAATGTTTTTCAGTACAGGTATCTTTTCCCAATATATCTATTTCAAATGCTGAACCTACCCAGAATTAATATCAGCCAATCCAGTGACAGCTGAAATTCACATGTGGACTTGGCTTTCACTATTCTCAAAGATGCTGCTCACAGGCTTGTCCTTAAGTATGTGCTGATTGTTCAGGAATTATTGGAGAGAGTTGGAGTAACACAGTCTAAATGCTGCACATGAATAATAAACTGATCAAAAAATCTTACACAGTGGAAAACTTTTTATCTAAAAATATTGATTCAACAGTAATAAAACTATTGCATGAAAATCCATTAACTGCTATAATCATATAAAAATAAATCAGGTTGGCTTTCTACAAGCTCAGATTCTCAAATTCCCCATCCCATTGCTTTTCTGGATTGACTGAACAATTCCTCCAAGATCAATGCCTTCCCAAGAGTCAACCCCACATTGAGGTAGGCAGTAGAAACCAACCAAAATCTGTGTTTACACCACAAGACACAAGTACACGCATATACACAGTAACTTATTTTGCTTTAGTGACATTCTTCTAAAATACTTCTATTTTCCTGTTCCACATGTGTATGTGCTTATATTTTCACAGGGATGGCTCAGGCTTCTCTGTAATAATTGTTATATCACAGACAGACTTTTGAATAAATTAAAATTTTCACATTAGGTGAAAATTTGACCTTTCAGTTTAAAATAGACTGCATAAAATTCAAACAAAATGAATTTGACAGTGCTGTTTAATGCTTCTTGGAAGTTTTTGTGCAGCTTTGTCTTCTTTCTTCCAGATGCTCTTTTTAGAGTTTTATAGTTTGCATTAAAAAGAAGATTAAAAAGAAAAATATTGAGAGATCTGTCATCAGTAGTTACCAAAAATCTTGTTCCTTTTCTAGCTGTTAAAACATTTGGTTGAACAATGAACTATCAATCATTAGTACTGAGCTCTCCCACATGGAATACATTTTATTGACAGTTAGAAATAGGTAACAAATAAAGTGGTTTCTTCTTAAACTAATGAATTAATGGTGACACTCCACAAGTTAATGTAAAAAGTTTGATCTTTACAGCTTACCTTTGCTGATACAGAACCCACCATTATTTTGCATACCTTATATGTTTATATAGTTCATAGACTCTAATCTATAGAAGGTAGAAAACATGAATTTTAGATGGATGTGCCTCAGCATTCCAGCCCTGTGGTGCCAGATGTTGTCTAAACTAAGAGATTAAGGTTTAAGTAGTAAATTGTCAGTTATCTGAAACTGGGCTCTTTAAACTCCTCTGACTGAACAGAATGATCTAAATTTCTGGGATAATAAAAAAGAGCACATGTATTCACTTATTACTTTGACCACATCACTCCATGATTGTTTCTTCACCAGCCAGGAAAGCAACAGAATCACGTATGAACTTTTGATCTCAAAGAACCCACAGTTCCAAGTATATTTGACCTGGTGCTTGTGATAGTCCTTGGAACAGCATCACTGTTTGTTTTGTAGGCCCACAGGGAGTGGATGATGAGTGACATGCTGAACCTTATAGTCATTAACAAGATGCTGGTCTTTTCCACTTTGTTTGTAAAAAACAGAACACATGCCAAAAACAAAGATATAATTATGATAATTAAAAAGAAACCCTTCATAGGTCCACGTCTTTCCTGTGTCCAGAGCTGGACATAGTACTCTAGATGGGGTCTCAGCAGAGCACTAGGGATATGGTTTAGGGGTGATTATGGTGATGCTGGGTTGATGGTTGCACTAGGTGAACACGAAGGCCTCTTCCAACCCTCATGATTCTGTGATAGCAGAGGTGCAGAATCACATCTCTCAACCTGTTGGTCATGCTCCTTTTGATGCAGCCCAGCATATGGCTGACTTCCTGGGCTGCAAGTACAGATCACCAGCTCATGTCAGGAGCATAATCTGAAGTTTTCCTTGCTATCTTAGCAAGCATATTCTCACTACACTTTCTCAGATAGATCGTGTCTCAGGATCATTTAGTGGAATGGTTCCTCAAAGAAGTGAAAGACAAAGCCATTTCTGTCGCAACAGCAGAATTTTGATCAATGGTCACTAACAGTTGGATTGTTCAATCTGAAGGAAACTGTGGAAATAGATATACATAATAACCAAAACCATCAATGGTTATTATCAAGGAGAAAGTTGTACATCGTACTGAGTTGACCTTGGCTGGATATCAGGCCCACCAAAGCTGCTCCACCACTCCACTCCTCAGCTGGGCAAGCACAAAAAATACAATCAAAGACTCATGGGTTGAGATAAGGGCAGGAAGAGATCACTCACCGTCATGGGCAATAACGCACTTGACTTGAGTAAATTAATGGAATTTACCAGCAGTCAAATCAGAGTAATGAAAAGTAAAACACACCTTCCCCTACACCCCTCCCTTCTTCCTGGGCTGAATTTTATTTCTGATTCTCTACCTCCTTCCAATAGCTGCACAAGGGACAGGGAATGGGAGCTGTGGTCAGTTCATCAGACATTGTCACTGCCACTGCTTACTCCTCAGGGGCAGGACTTCTTTCCTTGGTCCAGCGTGGGAGTCAGTCTCTCCAGGAGAATACTGCAAAGAATGCTGTGGGAAATGGTATCTAAAGCTTTCTTAAAGTCCAGGTAAAAAACATCCACAGACATTCACTGCATAGGTCATCTTGTCATAGAAGGAGATTAGGTTGGTCAGCAGGACCCGCCTTTCATAAACTCCTGTTGACTGAAATGATTCAACATGAAATGTGATTCAATACGATTCAATATGAAAAATATCCACTCATTAAATGGTGTTGGGCAGTCTAAAGCATGGTCACCTGCCGCGGTCCGAAGAGGGGATGGGACACGAGGAAGGGTGCAAGTAGAATCTCCTATTCACGCGTGCACACCGTCTTTTGTCAGCTCGGGAGGGGAAAGGGCCAGAACATAGGGCGGAGCATGAGACAGACTAGCAGGGGGACAAACCAGGATAGGGACACAGGCAAAAGGGGGAGGAGTGGGGGAAGCAGGGAGCAGGCAAACTCATGGCAAGCCTGGGCTTGTCCAGGCTGTGCACTGTGTAGTGTGAATACAATAAAAACCACACAATAACAGTGAAGTCCATATGATAACTGTAAGGTCCATATAATAAAGTCCTGCCAATTGCTGTATGCTTTTCTCCACGCCTGGAACTGTTCCCATCCTGAATCTTGCTCCTTCACAGTCACCCTTGTACACTCTGCAAATATTGGCAGAACAACATGTATATGGAAGAAAACCACTATAAAATCTAAGACTGAGAAAATACATTTCTGAGTCACCGGCAGATATTCAGGAGAAATTGGCCTTTTATCAAGTTTGTGAGAAACTGTGAGCTCTCTAGGCTAAAGACAAAGAAGCAAAGAAGCTGATCCCAGCAGACTTACTTGTTTTATTTAGAATCTGAGCAAGAAGGAGTACCCCAGGAATCAATATGTCTATCAGAGCTCAGATGATACTTGAAGAGTAAGGCTGGAATGATACAGCAACAGAAACAAGACCCTCACATGTAAAAGAAGACCTGTACTCTTTTCTCTTGTCATTGCCTTCCTTCCCATCCTTTCAGCTGTTTTTTTTATGTCATTGTTAGAACCCTTGATAATTACTTTTTAAAGCAACAAAATACATGCACAGACCAAGCATTTTTGGCCTAATTCATAATTAACAAAATGTCTTTCTGATAATCCAAATGGTGTGCACAATTTTCTGCTTGCCACTAATGAGATTCTCACTCCTCAAAACATACCATTTAATTCACTATTTTTAAAGGAAAAAGAGCTGCTTCATAACTGGAATAGGAGTAGCACAGACAGTTTTCCCATTCATATGTTAGAACTGATAGTAGTTGAATATGTTTCTCACTTTTGCATAGGCAGGTACTATCCAGTTTACATCACAAAATTGTGCCATAATGGCCCTGTACTTCTATTAGCTCAAATGAAAACTTCAACAGCACAGCTATCTGCTCTAGGATGGCAAAGCCACTGATGGGGACATGGCTGCATCAGTAGATAACTGCCTCAGCTAAGTTTGTACATTTAAAGTGGTGGTATAACAGCCTGCAGGAAGAGAGAAAATCCTGTTGACATATCTCCCATCTACACCAAAAGGCCCCTGTAATGAAGTTATGCCAGTAGTGCTAAGACTGCAGACTGCAAATTAGGCAAAACCTAAGCAATATGCATTACTACAGAGTTTCTGTTACTAGATCTTTCGATCCAACATAATGTTGTAAGTCCTTTGTGGGTTTTAATTCAGCTTGTGCACATTTTCTTTTAGCCATTTCTGAAATCAGGGTCAAAAGCAGCCACAAGAGATCATCTGCCTCAAGACAGAATCAACTGTACAAACAATATGTTCCTGATCAAACATCCCTGTAACAGAACACCTAATCCCTGGAAATTTGTTTTCATAGAAAAGTAAAGATGGAACAGTGTTTAACCCATATAGTATGTATATATTTCATGCAAAAATAATTCCTCAGTGAGACAGAATAGGGGTAAATATGCACCATTCAAACCAGAATCATAACCCATTTCACACAAAGTTCAGTGAGAATATTTCTCTTATTTTTCAAAGGGAGGACAATCAAGCCAAGGTTTTCTTCACCTGCACAAATGGAAAAATGCACCTGTATCTGAAAACATCATTAAAACAAGGGTTTAAATCTCTTGTTGATACAGGCTGCCCAGGGAAATTGTGGAGTCTACCTCTATGAAGACATTCAAAACCCACCTGGACACGTTCCTGACCCTGCCTTGGCAAGAAGGTTGGACAAGATGATCTCCAGAGGCACCTTCCAACTCTAACAATTCTATGATTCTGTGATATTCCCACTGCACCAGTTCTTACCACTCCTTGAAATAAAAACTAAACTTATATATATTCCAAGAATCTTGTCTTACATTTTCAGAAAAGTGACCATTTATTATGTTTTCTTACCTTCTACCAATATTCCAGCATGATGCTGTGGAATGTGCTGGTTCCAGCCCTGAGTTACAGGTTTGGCTCACAGCTCTTCCTTTCTTCTGAAAGGTGAAGAATACATAGGTAATCTCTCCTGACACCTCTGGAAAGGTCTTTAGACAACAATTCCAGACGAAATAAAGTTTATTCCCTGTCAAGTAAAAGTGCTAGATGTGAAGAATTCTGTTAATGCAATGTTATGATTGAGTTTTTCAATAAACCACAGTCAGGGAAGCCTAAATTTTGCCTCTTGCGGCAAATCTAAAAAAAGTGCATTTAAGCATCTGAAAAAGAAGAAAAAAACTAAAGGAAAACACAAAAAGCATTGCAGACAGCTGTGCGCAGGGCTGACTACAAAATCTGAAATCAGTGAGAACTATTCCATTGGTTTCAATTGGTTTTAGGTAACATATTTATTTTTGAAATTTTTTTCTTCAATATTAATGAAGGCAATATTATTTTCTGAACATATCTGTGTTTATGCTGGCCATATCTTCAACTTCCTTACCATCATTCCTCTATGCTTCTTCAAAGGAGACCTAAAAGCATGTTCCAGAAAGGCCAGAAGTTACAGGACTATCCTGACTCTTCCTTGTAAAAACAGCCTAAAACCTGTGAGGATCTTTACATTTTCCAAAATAGGACAAGGATGAAGGAGGCAGAGCATATAGAGACACAAACCTCCTAATGCAGACAATGGTACGAGAAACTACCGGTGACACCATTATAATCTCAAATCCTATTAAGCACTTTATTAAAATGTGGGCATAAGAAACATTTAAAAATATACATTTATTATCAGAGGAATTTTTTCAAATATGTGAAGGACACTTACCATCAAGTACTCAGCTGTTATCTTTTAAAACTGATATTCAGGAAGTATAAATGACCATAACTCCACTTATGTTAATGGATTTACAGAGGCTAGAGAGCCAGAGAAAGTGAGTTTTGAATAATCTAATAGTAAAAGCAAGGAATAATGATCTCAGATGTACCATCACCACACACCATGTTGCTCACAAACAGACCAGCATGACATGGCCAAACTTTCCCAAGGAAAAATCTATATCTGCACTATGAAAAAGCATGAACACTTCAATATCAAGGCCCTCTATTCTGAAAATTTGAAAGCATCAGACAAGACAGGCTTATAAAAGACAAATGGTGATCTTGTGCTTAAGATGGGAGCCTGATGTTTTTCCCTGGCTTTGTCCCAACTTCCCTATGGCCTCAAGCAAGGTCTACTAGCAGTAATGGCAGTAAAAGGCTACAAACCCACTTTTGAGCATAGCTGTGGGAAGTACTTCAAAGTTCCCTAAAGGAGGATGGAAAAAATAGATCAACTGAGCAAGAAAGGTTACTGGTAAAATTCAGTGTCTGTGTTAGGCTTATTACTGGTAAGATAAGAATGAATCTGGAAACTGAGAGCAAAAATGGTGCACTTAAAATTAGGCCTACATCAGCTAAATAATAAGGCCAGTTTATTCCACCTGTGTACAGTTTAGGAAACAAAACTCCAGAAATCAAAATTGCAAGAGATTTGCAGGGGAACTCTAAAAAGTATGATATAATTTCTGACTTGGTTCCGAGAATCTTCCCCTCTGCTGACCTTCAGCCATGGGAGGATGTAGTGCATTGGCTTTTGGATTTTTTAGGCCTTCCCTAGCAACGGGGTCAGAAATCTAAGGAAGTATTCCATATCATCCTTTAACGTAATGCAACATATAAATAAGGCGGAGATAAGAGAGCTCGCTCTCTTCCGGTGGCTGAAGGTGACAGGTCTCTCTGCAGACGGTCTTTGCTTGTATAGGCCAGGGCCTGCCTGCTCCGACCTGCCGTTATCTCCGGTTCCCTTCAGGAGGCGTGGGGAGTTGGTTGGTGCTTCACGCGGTTCTGCTGTCTCGTTCAGGGAAGTATTTAATTTGTTTTTCTGTGGTTCATTTTTTTTTCCTCTCTTGAGAGAATGGGAGGGGGGAGGAGACAGCTTGGACTCGGCGAGAGAGCCAGGCCAAACTTACACAGGGGACAAAGGTAAAACCATCCCAGGCTAACCTGGCCATTAGCAGCAGGATGTCAGTGTGGCACTCCTGACATTCGGCTGGTGCACTTCTCTGTCATGATACTCCTTTTCATGCTTACCTTTCACCTAATACCCAAACCATGTTACAACAGCATTATGGATTAAGGTGGTCTATTCCATTCCGCTGTCCAAGAAATACCAACCCAAGACAGAAAGCTGACTGGGATGAACAAATCAGGTTTTGATCAAAGCAATAAGCTGGAATCCAACAAAGCAGTAACTGGTAGACCCAGTCTGCTCTCCCAGTGCCTTTCTTCATAATAACCTGAGCATTTCAAAGAATGTGCACCCTCACACCTTGATAACTTTCCTGTTTTTATACTAGTTGGCCTGCATATATTTTCCAGAGTTAGTCTGACTGCTTTGCCTATGTTCCAGCTCATCCAGATACAGGCCAGCTTCTTCCAGAAGCCTTGTGGATGCATTAGCACTGTACTGTGTCTGAGCTATGGTATTCTCCACAGGCTCGTTAACCAAGGCATCACACCATGCTAACTAACTTCACAGTTCCCAGATGCACACTGCCTTGCCTCAGGCCATCTCAAAGCAGAATGAACATGTGACTGTCTCCATCAACCTGTGTAACCAAACACAATTTTAATTCTGTAACTTTGAAGTTCTTTGAATTCTTTATGCACACCATATAATAATAACTGGTTATAATTATAGGCAAGAGTCTCACATTGCCATGCAGCCAGCATTTCTAATGCAAAACTGTTACTCTATATGGATATGCACTCAAATAAGGAAAAGGAAACTATTTTATAAAAACAGTGTATGAAACCTAAAGATATCATTATATAATAAAATAGCCTCAAAATCTGATGTAGTTTCTTGCTTATCCAGAAATCAGCATATATTAACTTCTGATATTTGAAAAGCTTTTGTTCCCAACTAATAAAATGAGAGCAGAACAGACCTTGAAACCATCTTAAAGTAATGGAAGATTTAACAAGAAAATAAGATACTTCTAGTCTAGAAAAAATGTAAGCGTATTAATAATAGATGATCCAGCACTACTCAGCATGATGTAGGGGTCTGTGAAATGTTACAAAGCTGTCTCATGCTAGTGAAATGCCGGCTGGTAACACTGATAGAGTCAGTATGTGGGAAAGAAATCTTCCCTTGAGGACATCCAATGGGTGTATTCTCAACCACAACACTTTTCAGATTAGAAGAGGGTACTCATTTTTGCAGGCTTACTAATGGTACATTACAGTGACTTCATCTAATGGCACCCCCTAAGAGTGCTTCCACTTACCAGCCCAGTCAGTAACACAGCTGCATCAGTTACAGCTTGATCCCTCTGGGTAGTGATGCCATTGAGTGAGGACATCAGTATCTGTAACTCCTGATGTTCTCTGTGGGAGATGAGGTTACTCATTCCAACACAGGAGGTGCTCAACACTTAGCACAGTCAGACTGGTATGCCTCTGAGAGTTTATGTTCTTTAAAGTCACAGATACTACCCCTTAAAAGCAGCATGATTTATTGCCTTAGTTCTAGAGGAAGATAATTGAATGTGAACTGGCTGCCTTGGAAATTCCTCTTCTGCCTAGATAGCTGGGATTCTCTGTCAGATGTGCTTTTGTCATTCAGAGAAAATGCAACAATTAAAGTTTGCCACCCAAGAGATTAGGATTTCTTCTTATTATTTCAGTGTCACGTCTCAAGGATGAAGGACCACTGCCTCCCTAAGATCTTGCTTTATGGTGAACTTGCCACCGGCTGCCGCAAGAAAGGAACCCCAAAGAGGAGATACAAGGACTCCCTGAAACAACATCTCAGCCTTGGCCATATTGATCAACATAACTGGTCTACTCTGGCCTCCAATCAGGAGGCCTGGAGACACACCAACCATAACGCTGCTGATGCTTTTGAGAAAACACGCAGGATCACCCTTGAGGAGAAAACACAACGCAGAAAGAATCGTGCCTTGCAGAATATACCACCTAAGGAGTCTTTCTGCTGTGCCTTTTGCAACTGGACATGTCTATCTCGTATTGGCCTTTTTAGCCACCAATGCGCTTGTAAAAAATGTGGGTAGAGTCCTTCCCAAATCTTTGTTTGTGAAGCCCAGCCATGATATTGTAATTTTTTGACATTTCCAGTTAACAAAAATTTAATTGAATAAATGAGTTGACAAAGCTAATATAACAAGAAAACCATGAACCCATGGTTCTTTTAGTGCCAATTAAACAGTGCTTCCATCAGTAGAAACAAAACTCTTCCCTGACTTAAAACTGTCCCTTCCCTGTATGCAGATGGTCAGTTCCAGTACTTGGGGGATACTTGTTTATTTTCCCATTCTCCAGAATGCCCTTAAGAGACTGACTCCTATCTTCCAAAAGAGTCTGTGTCCAGAGGTGACAACACAAGAGGGACTCCCCAACTAAGTATGCAGTCAGTGCCAGTATACCTATTTGCAAGTCTCATTCTGCAGGAGAGCTAATTCTGTTGGGATCAACTCAAATCTGTCAACTCCTGAAAATAATCTTTCCAAAAGAGACATTCCTTCTGAAACAGAGAGGGATTTTTGTCTTTACAATGTATTTTAACACCTCCAAACCACTTTTTAAAAAGTACACAATTAAAAAGAAATGTGTTTTCCAGATTATGAGCCCACAAAAATACAGAGAATTTGCCTATGAAAATGTTAGTATGCTCATAGTCACATGTGGCCAATATAAAAAAAAAAAAAAAGGAATTATGGTAACTGCACACAGAAACAGTGAAGAAGCACCAAGCATAAAACCAGCCTAAACTACAACTCCAGAGACTTTCTGTACAGCATAAAACAAAACAATTGCATGCTTTCTTTTCTGACTCCATTACCTGTTTTGGTTTGTAAGTGCTTGAGGCAGGTTGTATCTCAGAAACACATCCTAGTTCACAGCAAACTTCAGCTGCAGTGTGCTTCAAATGATCTTTAAAAGTGCAAACTCAGCAGTGGACTTGGGGCATTGTTTACTGTAGCTTCTCAACAGATGAATAAGCACAGTGAAGCCACAGTAGTACTGGAGCACTCCAGTACATCTGGAACGTGCACTAACTATAGTCCAGCCTAGAAGTCTAACTACAGTCTAGAAATCCCACAGAAAACTAAGAGATTCATATGGCCAAGAATTTCACTGGTCAGATACACCAAGTGAACCAAATATGTAAGAAATCTAAGTAATAAATAATTAAATCTAAAATGAAAATATCAGAATCTCAGTTGCTCAGGTTAACCCTGACACTCTTTTGAGCTCAAGGTGCTGCAGAAACAGTTCTTCAGTTTTCAGTGCAAGTAAGTATCACATACTGGCTGAACCGTGAAACCTGTAACCTCTCACAGACATAAAAAATGCAATTAAACTATTTGATACCAGCTTCTCCCACTCTTTCTAGATGGTCCATGCTCATTAAATGTGACCAAAAGAGGTTACATGTAGTACTGCTCTCCCACTATCACACAATCACTTCTTTTCAAAACACAAGTTGTGTAGAAAATGTCAGCAGATCAAGGTGGATAGAGGTTTAGCATCCGTCCCACAACAGAACAAGCAACCAGGTCCATGTACGTATGTGATGGGACTCAGTAGCATCCTGGTGAGGCTGCTCCACACCCTGCATTATCACTGTGCAAGGCAGCACACCGCATCTCAGCTGCACAGGCTACATTTTGAAAGTCATCAGAGCATTCAATTGATTACAGTTGTACAGATTAACAGATGTGACTGTTAAAATATAAACACACTTATCTTCATGATGTCTAACTCATGGAAAAAAAAAAACGTATTAGAGAAATGAAGGGCTTCGTCACTTAATCCAATTTAAATAAACTTTGGCACTTTGTGGTTCCTTCTGGCACAATTCGGTCAGCTTTGGCTTTCATCAAACCGCTATGACTAAATTATACATTAGTAATATACAACTTAAAGCCATTCATGGCATCTAATATACTTCAGTATATTTAAACTCATCTGTAACATTTGAATGAAGTTTGTATTTATGCTACTGTCATTCATACATCTAATTTGTCATTGTAAATTAAAAAAAGGCTTTTTTTTCAGTCTATCCCAACACTACTATTGCAAGTTCTCTAACAACTGCATTACAGTAAATGACATTACTAATTCATCTATCCAGTATCACTTGTCCACATTCCTTTCTTTTCTGAACTAACCAGACCTCTTTATAGTGCTGTGAAACCAACATCATGTGAAGAACCACAAACAACTGTGGCATACACTAAAAGAAAACTTACTTTGTATAGACGAAAATCACTCAGATAAGCACAATGTACTGTGCCCATTTACAGCAACAAGTAAACTTTAACAGTCTTGACTTCTTTAGGGAAACAGATCTGAATCCTATCATGATAAACAGATGAAGATCAGAATTTGGAAACTGCTCTGAAACAACTGGGATGAGAGTTGGGAACAAATCATCTGGCTCCAGAAAAAGAGAGGAACAAGAAAATGGAAATAGCGTATCATTTCACATATCTAGGCATTGGAGCCAAGAGCTTCCTGTTGATGAGAACAGAAAGAAGAAGAAGAATGAGGCTGAGCACAAACCTGTGCTTTGACCAGCATAAGAATTAAGTGTAATCACTGGTAATTGGCAAAAATGTCTTCCAAATCTGGGCAGTTTTAAGGCTTCCTGAATGCCCATGTTGATGAGTACACTAAAACAAGTATCTTACAAATGTACAACTGGCTGATTATAGACTTACTAAAGAATCTTCAGTAGTTCAAGGGATCTCCATGAGAAGACCATCTATCTTCAGTTTTCTGAGTAGCTCCATCTGCACTAGAGGACAGAGAGGCTTTCCAGGTTTCTATGATGCAAATTATTCAATCAGTAGAAACAGCAAGGTCTCTGTTCCAGTTAAAGTCTAAACACTTACCTTGATGACGTCTACTTAATTCATTAAATAAATACATACTAGAGAAATAAAACACTCTGCTCACTCTGCAATAGAAAGATACAGCAAGCTTTTAGCAGGAAAAAATAAATAGCTCACAAGCAGAAGCAAAAGTATATATTTTTGTGATGCTATTCCTGCATTATAATGCACTACAGTTTCCAGCTTTAGAATTCTTCAGCTTTTTATTCCTTCATTGTGGAAACTAAACTTCCAGAAGGATTTTTCTCTGTGCACTCCATTTTAACAGAATCCTGATTCCAAAATGCATTTAGACATGAGCTCTTTTCACTGCATCTAAGAAATTGCCCTTGGGTTTTTGTTGGGTTTTTTTGTTTGTTGGGGGGGGTGTTTGTTTTTGGTTTTTTGTTTTTGTTTCAGGGGTTTTTTGCTTTTGTAAGTATGCATAGTATCAGCCAACAAGGATTTATGTGTCTATTCGATTCCCCTGTGACTTGTGCTGAGCTTCAGTTGCATGCTCCTAAGCCCCAGAAGCACTTTGTTCACAGGAGGTTCTGGGAACTGGCAACAAGGCAGTGAAGTTGCAGCACTCCCAGGACAACACAGTATTCAAGGCTCAACCAAAGGCAAAAACTAAAATTGGATGAGAAACACTGCCAGTCATTCCAATCTCCCTAGAAAATATCATCATAATACGATTTTAGTCCCCTGATAATTTTTATTCAAAGAGTCTGACACTAACACAGTTACTATAAAATAGAATAGTGAGAAACTAGAAGCAGTGGTATGTTAGAAAAGATGAATAAAAATCTTTTCCTTAATATCTGGTTTTCAGTGAAACCTTGGGCAAGAATTCCTCCCACACACAGAGGCAACTTTCATCTGTCTGTGAAGAGGGCTTCCACATCCCACTTTCTTAACACTCATCTAAATGCACCTTTCTACACTTTTCATCCCATGTTGCCACATAATCTCCATCACTATAAAACTATTTCAGTATCTTTCTGCTCAGCTCTTAATTATTGTTATTACTACTTGACTCTATCTGTATCTTCTTTGGTGTGTGTCAAAACCCTCCTTAGAGAAGTTCCATTTGGCTCATTGTCAAACATACATACTCTTTATATATATTTATACTTACTGTCAGCCAAAACCTCTGTACTGATTAAATTTTAAAAAAAAAAAAAGCCACCTTTCTATCAACCCCCTTTGGAGAGATCTGGGGGATAACCAACTGTGATTATTCAAGAGAGTCACTCTCAATATAAATAATTTGTTTATAATTATCTTCCTTTTTTATTTCATAAAATTTTCAATTTTACTTCTTTGTGACGTTAAATTTTTGTAAGGGATATTTGTCTGGCCAAAACTGTATTAAGTTGTTAATTAAATTGTTGTATTAAGTAGAAAACTTTCTTTTTTCCTTTTACTGTAATGCTGGCATTCACTAGGTAGAAGAGGTTCATTGGTGCTTTTGCTTGAACCTGTCATTATAAAGAGCCTTTATGCAAAAGA